CCCCCCCCCCCGGAAAATAACACGCCTTTTTCGTTTGTTGTTCAGCGTACGAGAAATCCAGGCCGGTTTGCGGGCACAGCTAGAGCAGGGTCTGCAGATGCTCCTGGCAGGGCCCGACCTGTCCTCCCGCTTACAGCTGCAGCTGGCGATGCGCATCGACGAGGTGGCCACCCGCCGGAGGATGCACGGCTCTCTCCGGTTCCGATCGGCGCAGGAGCTGGCGGATAGGCTGGTGGTGAGAGAGAGAGAGAGTGAGAGCCAGAGGTCGACTTGGCTGGCTTGTAGTCTGGGTACGCCATGACTTGTAGTCTAGTGGATATGCTACGCCTTTTCTCTCTATTAATAGCGGTTGGGTGCGCTCGGCCGGTGTGAGGCGTGCGGGTGCTTTGTGCTTTGCTCCTTCCGCTGCAAATTCCAAGCCGGGGCTTTTACCACTTTTTAACGTCCGGCGCGATTGCCCCGCTTTCCCGTCCTCGCATTCCTTCCAAGACAGCAGCGTTTCAATCATTCCGTGGGCCGTGTGCGCCGCGTGGGTGTCGTGGTGTGCTTGAACTTCTGTGTGTCCTTCTGCGTGTGTGTCTTTCTTAATAGCGTCAAGGCCTTGATACGGGCTACACCGCAGACCTCCGCTTCACGATGCACCGGGAGGCCTTACGGTGGGCGGCGGACGCGAGGGTCGAGGGGAGCTACCGCCGGGCGGAGCAGCTGACGCGGGCGTCGCGCGACAGCCTCGAAGAGGCGATCAAGGTCGCCGCCGTTTGTCTCGGGGAGGGCCACCCCAAGAAGAGGGCCCTCGAGGAGTGCTCGAGACGCTTTTCTCCTTTCGCGTAGCGGCGTTGTGGTGTGGCGCGGTGGTGTCAGCATTCGTGGCGGCTTTGTTTGCTTGGTGTCGCAGGTCAACAAGAGTAACAGTAGTGATGATGCTGTGCGTAGACTACCACATTGGTGGATGGCCTGTTGTAGGCAGGGAGAGCAGAGGCCTGTGCTTATTCGAAGCCCCGACATGGGGTCAAAAGAGAGATTGAGCAGGGAGTGATGGGTGCGGTTGTTGGAATATTGGGTGGTGATACCGTGTATACGATGCTGGTGGTTGAGGGAGGGCGGAACGAGCGGCGTACTCCCAAGAAAAATGAATGTTTTTCGGTTTGTTCCCAGTGCCCACCGCTCTCTGCTTGTTGTGCGGCCGGGTATGTTGGGTAATTCGCATCGTTTCTCCAACGCCCTCAAGGGCATGGCAGTTTGAATCGCTTGGTTACGCTCAGAGACCGAGAGGTAGTGATCTGTCTCCCTCCGCGATGGCATCCTTTTGTCATCAAGTCGGGCAGAGGTACGGACGGGTGCAGCGGACGCGTGTGATGCATCATGCAGTTTTTTTTCCGGCCGGCACGAGTGTGAAAATCTCTATCGGGTGCGCCATGCAGCAGAACAACATGGTGAACTCGTTGTCCTGCCCACACCGGTTCCAATTGTGTGGGCACCCTGCCTTCAGTTGGCACACAATCGGCACCAAATAATTGCACTCTTTGGCTGCTGTCTGTCCCTTCAATGCGTACATTATTGTTTGTTGACTCTTTGGCTGATCCATTGAGCGCGATAGAAAAAGCGCGCACCTCCGAATTTCCCGGCAAGGAGGGGGGCCGAGGGAAGTCCAATAGACTTGCCGGGGGCTATTGTGGATTTTGGACGAGTATCGAAAACCAAGAACATCACGACTTACTTCTTACCAGGCAGATTTCAGTGGGTTCGGTCCCCACAAGAATGAGCTAGACCGAAAACAAGTAGTCTAGACTAGACTGACTAATTGCGAAGACGACATGAGAGCAAAACGACAACACAGCGAGAACGTAGGTTTCTTCGGCCCATACACTATGCACAGCGTTCAAAAGCCTGAAACTCTCTCCTTTTGTCTTCGCTCTCAGTTCGCGGACGTGACGGCTCACGGAGGCCTGAGCTGTATTCCTGTGTCTCTTCTCTCTCGCTATCTCTCTGTCTCTGGAGCTGATGTGTCGAGACCGGGTCTTGGCTCCGATTCACGTACAAACGGTCGCAATACGTTCGAATATCACGACTGTGCGTCGTGCGGACGACTAACCAATCGACAAGTATGCACGTGATACGTTGACAGTAGTGGACAGTGTTCACAGGGTTCTTCAACTTCGTTCACGGGGGTGGTTTTGACTGAAAACCAGGTCCTTGGTCGACAGGCCTCGACCCGCACAACGCCACCTCAAATAAACGGAACTGGTGTTGCCCGTTCGTTGAGGCTTTTCGGCTCAACTCCTGACGGTTCGACAAAATTATCATATTTGGCGTGTCCATACGTCCATACACACAAGTTACCGTAACAATGGGTATATACCCTCCCGTTGTTGTACTTCAGTACTGCTGTAGTGCAGTGGTCCAAACGACAAGTGCAAGCAGAAGGGGAGCACAAGTGAACGGTGCCGGGGGGCCAACAAGAAAATAAATTGAGGATGGGGTACCTGTGATAATGTCGTTCCTTCTCCGCGGTTCCCCTTGCTTGGTGCTTACTGCTCTTGCTTCCGTCTCCCTTTCTCGCTTTTTTGCTGCTTTGGAATGCTAAAGCACGAGTAGGCAGTGCATGATGGCGCTGAGTGTGCAAGACGACGAGACGGCTCTGGAACTTTTCAGGAGAGCACATCATAAGCCATTGCTCACCGGACTAGCCTTTTTCGACGAGGTACGGTACGGATTCACCCCGCGTAATACTGCTGTATTACTCTTCACAACAATAATTGACTTCAATCTGCGGGGACAGGCATTCGTGGCATGATACACACACGTGAACTGGCGCCGCCGCAATAGTAAGAAACAGGGTGTGTTTTGTCGGAACTTTTACTATACAATGCGCCACACACAGCGGTAGCTAGACTACGGCGATTTGGTTCCAGAGCACATGTGCCTCTTGTGGAAAGATGTTTGGCAATTCAAAATTCAAAATACGATTGTATCCACACCACCCCCCTCTGTTGAAGATATTCAGCTGATCCTTCCGCCCTACAGCGTAATGCAGTAGGATGGAAGATACACAGAGACAGCCGTGCCACTCTTTTGCTTCGAGGTACTTGTAGGCCCGCGTGCTTGTGTACTGGAAGCAAGCACATACGTGACGCGAGATACCACACCCCCAGGACCGATTTTCGTGGTCACAGCCTAAAACTTACCCTAAAAGAAGGTACAGCAGTATATCTACTCAAATTACAATGGGTGAGCCCGCCACTTTTGGTCACCATCACCACCGACGAAACACGTTTCGACACAAGGTGCCAGCAGGGAGTGGCAGCAGCAAGACCAAGGACAAGGGCGTCGGGCGGGGGGACGTGGTGGAGCTGTACGGCCCCAGCGGGAGCGGCAAGTCGGAGGTCTTGATCAACGTGGTCGCGCGGTGCGTGATGCCGGCTTGGCTAGGCGGGGAGGAGCGACCGGCGGTGTTTTTCGACAACGGTGAGTTGAGCAGTCGGGATCATGATGATGACAACAACACTCGGGGGCGGTTATAGAAATACGGGAGTGCGAGCTGTGATGAAAAAAGGAAGGTCTGCGTGCCCCTCGGAAATATGACTTGTATCGCCCGAACCACACAAGACTCTTTGAAAGTCTCCCGAAAGATTCAGTGACTTTTAATACGTCCACGGGGGCGGTGTGGCGGTCGGTGCCAAAGACCTGCCTGCTTGCTGTACGGACGAAATTCCCTCAAGCAGTGTGAGGTGGTGACACGGTAATGGTTTTTGCTTCCGAAGGTGAGCTGCTGCCGCTGTGCAATCGTGGCTGAGCCTAAAGTGTGTGCTGTGCAAGTGTGTCGCTGGTGTATCCTCGTTACCGCGAGAAATCGCTCGAGAGAGAGGCGTGTTACCACTGTGATCTTTTGCTTGTCCTGTGCCGGCATTTTCACGTATGCCTGCGCCCCGCACAGCACGACCATGCCGTAGTTACTTTTTGTTTTTGGTTTCGACCATGTAGCTATCCGGCATTACTGACCACGATGTGCATCCGAAGGATACCGCGGTGCCACGGCCGCAGTAGACGAGAAGGATAGACGGACAGCGGCCCCACCTCTCACGCACGCCTTTGCTTGGAACCGTTCCTCTCTCTGGCCTTGTGGCGTGGTTGCGTGTGTGATGTTGGCGCACCGTTGAAACGGTCGACCGATCAGACAAGCCATGTTTTTTGTTTTGTCATCGAGACGACGACGTTGGGGGCTGAGTTAGCATGGTCATCCTGCCGCTTTCTGTGTTTGCAACCCTGACCCGCTGCCCCTCCTGTCTTCTCTTCCGTTCTCGTGTGGCGTGATTTCTACTGCCGTTGCTGCTGCTGCTGCTGCTGCTGCGTGCACGGACACGGTGGCGCATACCTGTCGGATCGGTCGACCGAACGGGCTCGTCTCGAAGACGGCAGGCTGAGCATACTGCGACTGGAGCAGCTTCTCAAGGGGAAGATCTCGAACAACACGACGTTTCAGGTCAAGAGCGCCTCGGGGGGTGTCGGTGGTGGAGGTGGGACGATCCACGCTTCTCCTTCACGCCTGCAGCAGCTCCAGAGTGATTTAGAGGTAACGGTAGCGGATTCCTTCGTATAGCGCAGGCACTACGTGGGGAGTCCTCCCGAAAGGGGGGCTAGTGGTCGACCAAACCACCTCGCTTTGGACCCTGGTCGCTCGAGTCGGCTGGCGTCAAGTAAGCAATGCCGTTCGTTGCTCTCTCCCTACTTAATCTGGACTCTTTTGTAAGCCCAGTTGGTCCACACGGTGGTACTCTGAAGTCTTCCTCTTTATCTGTCGCTGCCTCTGTCTGACTGTCTGTCTGTCTGTCTGCCTGTCTGTCTGCCTGTCTCTCTCTCTCTCTCTCTCTCTCTCTCTCTCTCTCTCTCT